AATGAACGAGATATCCATTCAATCACAATATATAGTGTGACATGGATTGTACACGTAGGCTAATTTCAATATTTTCGTGAATTTGAACATGCGTGTGAAATTTCGTGAAATTGAACAAGCGTGGGAAATATTTATGCATTTTTACTCGTATCGTCATATGTGTGTGCATATTACCATCCTAAAACTGTTTCTTTTTAAAGTTTATCGTCGTTTTTATCATATGTTGTTTTTCTTGTGATGTTGTCGTTTTTTCAAAATTATGACGTTTTTTAGGGAGCTGACATGTGATCGTATGAAAAGAAAGAGAAGCAGGGCCTCTTTACAGATGTTCCACAAATCCGACCCTTGAATTTACTTGTCTTAAATAAATAAATAAATAAATAAAAACTAATTGCATAAACTGTCATGTCATATCATGACATATGGGAAGACAAACTTTGCACATTTTCTCATTGCTTCAGGAGCTAGCCATTCTTTATTAGGTTAATTTTTTTTTATTATTAATTATTACAAATTGGAATCTTTAGTATCACTGGTATATAAATTCAACGTTCCACCTAAAAATGGTCATTAACACTTTAATTTGTTATGCAGAGAACTTCAACAACAAAGGTACATAAACCATTGGTTTTGTAAGCTAAATCCGCCGGCAGAAAAAGTTCGAAAGCCAGTAAGTTCTTGTTTAAATCTCTGCCGCACGAAACTAAAGGGTTATTTTTTTAGAGTGTAACTTGAGTATAGTTTTTTAGTTAAATTTGAGTTATAATTTGAGTTTAAGTTAGAACTTAAATAAAATTAAATAAAGTTGAAACTTAAAAGAACGTGAATTTAAATAAAGTTAAAATTTGAGTTGTCTTTTTTTTAATTTTTTAGACAAAAGAACATGCCCTAAATGCTAATTACAATATCCCAAATTTCTCCCGAGTAAAAGCAAGAATAGACCAAACTAACAGCAGTCAAATTATTGTTGGCTATAGAAAGAAGGAAACACTTCAACATTCCACGCCAAAAAAAAAAAAAAAAAAAAAAAAAAAAAAAAATTTTTCACTCCAGCAGTTAATTACAAGATCCGGAGCCTAGCTTATACAGGTAAAAGCAAAAAGAAAAATTTTCTCTTTCCCCTTTGTCTTTTGCATAAGTTTTCTCAGAAAATGAAAACAATGGAATTATGATTTTGAAAAAAAAAAAAGGAAAATAGTAGAAAATAGGCCAATATGAAAAGCTTAAGAAAGTATAGATTAATTTTTAATTATAGAAATTAATAGGCCATAACTTGTCATGTTATGGTTCATAACCAAATAAGTTATGGACAAACTTGTCAAGTTATGGTTCATAGCCAGATAAATTATGGACAATAATTTGTTAAGTTATGGTTCATAACCAGACAAGTTATGGACGAAAACAATAATTTGGCCTATTTATTAACTTATATAAACTATTGACCTATTAATTTTAATTCATCTCAAGTCTTGGCCTATTTTCTTCTTTCTCTAAAAAAACAAAACAAAACAGAATCAGGCCACCTAAGGCCCATGGGTTCTACGGCCCACCGGCCCAAATTTTACTTTGCCCTTTTTCGTTGTTACCCCCAAAGATTTTCCAATTCCAAAATTTGAAATATCACATTTATATCCTTAAGTTTGATCCCATATTTCTAACTTTCAACCTTTAATTTTTTTTTTAATTCTAAAAGTAAATTTAGGAAGAGTGCTTTAAAAAGTTTCATTTACACTGCCAATTTCTATTTCTAATTATACCATATTATTACTTTTTTTCTTTTTTGTCTGTATCCATTATTTCAAAATTAAGAATACAAATAAACAAAAATTAGGATTGCGGATACAATGCTACATAATTTTTATATATTTGTGGGAAGGAAAAAAAATATAGATTAATAGAAAAGCCAAATAAAAGGACGACCAGTAAAAATATATATATTATATTAGTTCAAAATTTTGATTTAACTCATCTAGAAGATATGGGTTGCATCTGAATCATGCCATCAAAGAAATTCATATCTTCATCTAGCTTATTTTTCTGGTTCACAGCCATCCTTTATGTTGAAGAAACATGGAGGAATATAAAAGGGAATTGGATTGAGGAAAAAAAAAGAACCACTATTAAAAACTCTATTTGTGGGTGGTCACCTTCAAATATAAAAATTTAATGACATGGAGTGATAAAAATTTAGACCGTGTTTGGAATTGATCCCATTTTTATTTTCCACGTTTTTCAAAAAAAAATAAAAATATTTTCAAAACGGCGTTTTGACGCAATAAAGACAAAAAATAAAAATAAAAATGATCTTTTGGTTTAGTGTAAAATGAGAGATAAATGAAAAATAACTTTTAGTCATTTTTCATTTTTTTTTGTTTTGTTTTCTCCTCTCTCTAGCAGAGAGAAAGAGAGACATTAATGGGTTTTTTTACACTAAAAATAATCTCTTGATAAAATTACCAAACGCATTTTTAAAAATGATTTATGTCTGAGATTGAAAACGTTTTTATTTTTATTTCCGTACAAAAAATAAATCATTTTAGAACGAGTTCTAAACGCGCCCTTAATTTTATTAATTGTCATTAATTTTTTAATTAATATTAAATTTATTACAAATAATAAATTAATATCTTGTGGCTAAAACAATAAAACGAATTAATAAGTAAATATTAGAATAATTATTAAAATCATACCGAATACATATATTTGTCAACAAATATATATTCATATGATATATATATATATATATATATATATTTGTCGATCAATCTCCCAAAAGTTTGGGGTGCTAATCACTTTGATCAGATTGGAGAAGTGTGAAGAAAAAAAAGAGAAAGAAGGGAATACGCTAAGACTTGAGATGAATTAAAATTAATAAGTCAATAGTTTACAAAAGTTAATAAATAGGCCAAATTATTATTTTCGTCCATAACTTGTCTGGTTATGAACCTTAACTTGACAAGTTTGTCCATAACTTATCTGATTATGAACCATAACTTGACAAGTTATAGCCTATTAATTTCTATAACTAAAAATTGGCCTATATATTTTCTTAAACTTTTTATATTGACCTATTTCTTACTGTTTCCAAAGAATAAACGGTGATAGTTGTAAGCACTCAAACGGTTTGACTCAAAAGTCAAATTTATAAGAGGATATTTATTTTATGTATTCGTATCTGATTTTAAATTATGATTCATAATTTTTTATAATATTTTTTTCTTATAAAAAATATACATAAAATAAAAATAATTCTAAATTATAATTTTAAATCTAGGAACTAAACATCTATTAAAGTCCTCACAAAAATAGTGTAGGTCCATGGGTGGGAAACGGGCCGAAAACGGGACCAAAGTCGGTCTTAATTAAATAAGAAGCGGACGAAAAAGTGGAAAAGATGGGCAACAGATATGTAATAAATAGATTAATTTAATTCACATGACAGAAAAAAAAAAATCATATACGCGGTAGCCTTATTGAGCACGGGGGGGGACAACTGTCTTCCTAAAACTTTATAATGAGATCATTGATTAATACATTCATTATTCATTATGGGATTTAACGTCGATCACGCAGTCTCTGTTAGATCTACAATTCCAATTATTAGCCTGTAGAATATAAAGTTCTCAATAGTCAATTCCTTTTTCCTTAAATCTATTCTATACTTTAAAAAAAAAAAAAAAAAAAAAGGTCCTCCATTGTATTTCGAAGGCTAAGAGCATTTTCGGAGGAATTCTTAAATTTTAGTTAAAATTTTAAAAATTATTTTAACTAAAAATTTTTAAAGGATTCACTCTGATCATATTCTCTATTTCAATTAAATATAAATTATTTTAATATTTATTAAATTTAAAATATAAATAGTCTTATTCAATTTTAAAAGAAACTTTTAGGTTTATTACGATTAAATGAATAAAATAATATAAAAATTAAATAGTTAGTCTTTACATATTAATTATATTTAGTTTGTATGAAAGACATTCTCTAAAATGACTAATTATTTAGGGTCCGCTTAGTTCGTTGATTCAAGTTTTTAATTCGAGTTTATATGTGACTTTATATGAGAGTTTTTTATTGCAGCAAAAAAGTTAAATGTGATTGTTTCTGAGAGCTTTTTACTGTAGCAAAACTCAAATTCTAAATTCGAATTGATGAAATAAACTGAGCCTTAGTTAATAGTTGGAACGAAGAATTTTTTAAAAAAAAAAAAAAGCTAAACCAATATTTATTTGAGAATTTTTCTAGTGTTATTTCTTTTTATAAAAAAATTGATGTTTTATGTTTAACGGTTGTTAAATCTATATTACTTTTTAATCTGATTTGACTTTTACTTAAATTTAATACATATTTAACAGTTGATAAATAAAAAATATTAATGTTTTAAAAAAACACAAAAGAAAATCACTAATTATTTTGGTTAAAAATACGAGTATGATTAGGTTGCTTTAATGCGAAATCAAAATTCAGCCCAGCCGGTGAAAAAAGAAGAAGAAATAAAAAGAGAATCGGGGAGAGAAAAAGAAATAGCAAAAGAAAACATCAATTTTTGCTTTTTTTTTTTTTTTTTTTTTTTAATGGAATATGTGTATTTTTTTTTTTTTTTTTTTTTTTTTTGGTTTGCTTTGGGTTGGATGATATTATACGTCAATTTCTAATTTGGTAACACCCCACCACCCAAACCAACCTCTTTCTCTCTCTCCTACTTTTTTTCTTTTTTTTAATTATTATTTCTTCTCCACGATTGTCCCTCAAAAGCACGCACTACGCAATTGGAGGAGAAAGAAGGCAACAAAGCAAAACACAACAACAAACAAACAAACAAACAGACAAACAAAAGGCCCAAAACCACCTTCAGTTTCACTGCACACTCGGAGCACGCCATCTCCAATTCCCTCCGAAAATCTCAGACCTGCCACGTCACCCTCTCTTCGAGCTAAAATCCAAGCTCCAAACTTCTCCTCAATCCATCTGTGCCCCACTAAGCCACTATCACAATATTCTGAGTTCGGTTGGAGCGGTTGACCTAATATTCTTTTCTGTAAAAGATTCACCTAGAGAGAGAGAGAGGAGTGAAAATGGGGAATTCGTTCGGGTGCTCGGCTTCCGGCGAGCGGCTGGTGTCGGCGGCGAGGGACGGCGATTTGGTGGAGGCGAAGATGCTTCTCGATTGCAATCCCTGTCTCGCCAAGTACTCGACCTTCGGTGGCCTTAATTCCCCTCTCCATTTCGCCGCCGCCAAAGGCCACAATGAGGTTCTTTTCACCTTTTCCCCCAATTCTGTAGACGACCTAGGTTCGAATTTGTTTCTCGTTGAGCTGATTTTATGGTTCCTTTTTTTTTTTTCTTTTGTGTTGATTAGATAGTCGCTTTGTTGCTTGAGAATGGGGCTGATGTGAATTCTAGGAATTACTGTGGACAGGTACGAGATTGTGTTTTGTTTATCGCATAAAGTTTTGATTTTTCTTTTTTGCTGATTTATGTTTCTGGTATGATTTTGTCGGGTGAATTGGGACTAAAGAGCTCCGCTCCAAATTTTTTTTTTTCATTTAATCTTTTTATTGATCTCTGTGGAAATTTATTTGCTCTGTGTGTATAAAGACAGCGTTGATGCAAGCGTGTCGATATGGGCACTGGGAAGTTGTTCAAACTCTTATGCTCTTCAGATGTAATGTGAGTTACTGAGTAATAAATCTAAATTTCTTCTTCTGTCATTTTTATTTCAGTCCCTGCGACAGATATTTTAGTTTGAAACTTTGTTGCTATTAGGTTGCTAGAGCAGACTATCTAAGTGGTAGAACAGCGCTTCATTTTGCTGCTGTAAATGGCCATGTAAGATGCATAAGACTTGTCGTGGCTGATTTTGTTCCAAGTGCTCCATATGAAGCCACATATACTCAGATAGATAGCGAAAGGCTTGATGATGCCTGTTTAAAGAACAAAAATTACCAAAGGTATGTGGCTTGTTTTATTCTATTTTCTATCCGGATAACTCTTTGCTATTGAGGATTTGAAGCGCCATAATAATCAAATGCTATGTTTGGCATGAAATGCTCCCATTAGCTCATCATTCAGATCAGGGTTGACTTACATTTTTCTGATGGAATTTTAATTTACATGGTTACTTGTGTTTATTTTCTTAAAGAAGAAGCCGATACCACTCTGTTCAGTTTGGCTGATTACAGCTTCTACAGAATCATTTATCTGTATATTTTGTATTCTCGCTATTTATTTGTTCTATTCCAGTGCAGTGCATTATCTAAGTTTGTAAATAAGTCAGCAGATGGTGGTGTAACTGCTCTTCATATGGCTGCTTTGAATGGCTATTTTGATTGCGTTCAGCTCTTACTTGACCTTCATGCAAATGTATCAGCTGTAACCTTTCATTACGGGACGTCCATGGATTTGATAGGTTTGGTTTTTATCTAGTAGTTTGAAAATTAGATGATTGACAATTACTTTCTGATTTTACAGCCAACTAAATTGAAAAAGTATATCTCTGTAGGAGCTGGAAGCACTCCACTGCATTATGCTGCTTGTGGGGGAAATTTAAAGTGTTGTCAGGCAAGAATTACTTGGTATTTACGGCTTCTGAGGACATTTTTGGTTTCTCTTGAATCTAACATGATTGTTTGTATTCTTAATTCTATAGGTGCTTCTTGCGAGAGGTGCTAGTAAGATGACTTTGAATTGCAATGGGTAGGGAATCTTTGTTGTTCACAACAATTATTCAGTTGGTTTATATGAAGGACTACTCTAAACACTTGAATCTTTCAGGTGGCTTCCTGTTGATGTTGCTAGGATGTGGGGGCGTCATTGGCTTGAACCGTTGCTAACACCCACTTCTGACTTGGCAATACCAACGTTCCCCCTATCTAATTTCCTATCGTTGCCTCTCATGAGCGCGTTGAACATAGCAAGGTAAAATTTTTAAGCAAGCAACAATGATTACAATAGAAGAATAATATTTATAATTGCTGACATTTTCAGATTCTATTGAAGATAAAGCTTGATTGTCCCTTCTGATAATAAAAGAATAATATTCTTAAATGTCTGGCGTGACCCGTGCCTCTCAAGGCTCAAAGTATGCCTTGATTATCCAATATGATCTTGGGAGCAGTAGATTCATGTGGTTGCGTTATCCTTTTCTATCATGTAACTATTTATTGGAAGAACAGAAAAGGAAAAAACTTATGTTTAGATTGACAGCTGCTCTAATTCTTTTGTTCTGCCTTGAAATATGACATTTGGTTATTGCATAAGAAAATATTGATTTTGTATTGTACCGCATAAATGTTTTATGAATGGGTCGGCAATGGCAGCAAACTGCAAGAGTAAACTTTTAACAAGCTGGGTAACATAGCATCCATGGGCACGTGCAAAAAACTTGATGATTGGGGTATTTCTAGCTCAATATGAGGCATTTGAGCTACGCATGTAGCTTTAATGGCTCTATTGTGGCGATTAATTAGGAGGGAAGAGAATTTAAATGGCAGAGTTTTTAAATATAAATCTGAATTGTTACCTTGTGAAAATTCTGCAGAGAGTGTGGATTCAAGTCCATGACAACCTCCTCTGATGATTCCGATCTTTGTGCTGTCTGTCTTGAAAGAGCATGCTCTGTTGCTGCAGAAGGTTCGTTTCTTTTACCTCTAGTAACAAGTTACAACTATGTGATGTTAGTGTCTTTCTTCCCATACCTTCTTCCTCTTCTTCGCTTGTCTTCCTTTTTAGGTAGGATGTTTGGTAGTTGTAAACTATATGATAACAACCTGATTTAGACCACATTCATTGCAAACTTACCACTGCCATATTTTTATACTTTCAGGATGCGGGCATGAGCTTTGTGTAAGATGCGCACTCTATCTTTGCTCAACAAGCAACATTCCTTCTGAAGTTATGGGGCCACCTGGGTCTATTCCATGTCCCCTTTGCAGACACGGAATCGTATCTTTCGTTAAATTGCCGTGTTCCCCTGCTAAAGAAAATAAGCAATTTATGTCCCTTGGTCTCTGCACCCCATGCATGCTTCATCCTCGTGAACCAGACCGTCAATCTCCAGCTCGTACGCCCGATATCCGAAGGAACCGTGTTGCTTCAGTCTCTTCCGA